TACACTGCGTCTCCTATTGATACAGCCACCTAGAAAATGTTCAAAATCTCGAGCTCTAAAAGACACTGGAAAACTGTCTAAGAGGGAGCCTATGTGAAATTTGATCGCGAATCAAAAATCTACACAAAGTTCTAGGTTGAAAATGTCAAAAAATTTTATGTCAAATTTTCCGGGAAGAGTCGCTTTTCTCATGTCTCCAAATGATACCGTCAGATCGTTTCTTCGTTGCGTTTCATTTCTGCGCGACGATGAAACTGATTGACAGTCAACAATTTTTCTTTTTTAGGTTAGCTATTTGCATCTGCAGAATGATTAGCTATTTTCTTCTTGAATCGTGTAGGAAATGTAGCTGTGGAGGATTCGAGGCGTATGCTTCGCTTTTTGGTTAAAGGTAAACATCAGGCTCGTGTTCGGGCATTATGGCGCCTGAAATTGAGTGTAGAGATGGGAGGTGGAACGACAGTGATGAAAAAATGCAAAGAAACCGTCGACAAGACCGAAATCGAAACCCCTTCCTTTCCAGCAGTGAAGGAGGCTTGCTCGTGGGAGAGCCACGTCCAAACGAGTTTTCCGGAAATGCCAGCCGTTCTACCGGTTGATACGGCAATCAACCTAGCTGATCTCGCACGTTAGGCCAGCCACGCACCACATCCCGCTGTGGGCGGGATCAGCTGATGTACAAGCCCATTGCTATAAGTTGTAGGCCAGAAACCTTGACGGCGCGCAATCTCGAGTCAGGAGTGCGGCAACACTCCTCTGAGCGCATCCCTTTCCAGGAATGCGCTCAGAGGAGTGTTTTAGCGTTGGAAAGGCCTTCTGTGGTCACCTAATCCTGACTCGTGGCTTTAAGATATACGCGACATTATGAGAACAGCACCCAGTTTCATCAAGGCGTGTTCGGTTGAGCCTTCTTCAACACTTCATCTCTTACTGGATAGTGCGAATAACTCTTTAAGTTGGCATTTTAGTGGGTAGTTAAAACTACACGGTTTCTGAAGAGAAACCGTTGCGGAAAGTGGTTTTTTTACTAGAAGAGAGTAGCCAAGACAACCGGAGGAATATCAGCTCATTGCCTGTTCTGTTGTACTTCTTCTGCTTTACTCTAGAGTTTCACCTTGCTAACAAAAGCTTTTCTTCATAACCGAACCATCTAGAGCGAGTCGCGTTAAAAAATGGCACACGAGAAGTATGAAATAACAGGATCCTGTCCCGGTCTGCTTGGTCAGACTTTCCCTGCAGTAGTGACTCGGTATTCGCGACGGTTTTTTTTAATCACTGTATTTTTCTCTTCCCGCTAAGGAAATCATGGAATTTATTAGTACATTCCAAGCACTATCTAGTTAGAGATTCAGAGCTGAAAAGAACTTAACTTCCGAACATGAAATTGTGCTGTTCTCATGATTCCGCGTTTATCTTAATCAAAAAGCAAAGAATAACGTCCAGAGTTCTTCTTATCGTTATCCACATTTCCGACAGGAGAAAAGAAATTGCTAATCATTCCGTAGCTTCGACTGAATCCCCGCGCAATGTGATCACCTGGCGCTTAATTCTTTTTTGCGACGGTTCCTGCTTTTCAACAGTCCAGCAGCTGACTTCCTTACCTGATACCCTAACAAAGAAAAATCGGTGATTGTCAATCAGTTTCATCGAGCAGAAATGAAATGTAACGAAGAAACACGGGGTGGCTGTATCATTGGAGACATGGGAAAAGCGAACCTTTCTGAAAAAAGTCGGCATTAAATCTTTTGGCGTTTTCAGCATGGAATTTTATGATTTTGAATTCGTGATCGATTTGATACAATTTTCCTCCTAGACATTTTCCCAGAAGCTTTGTGGAGTTCGAGTTCTTGAACAATTTCTAGGTGCTGTATCAGTAGGAGACGAAATGTATAAGACCCACCGAGCACACGCTTTAATTTCTAATGGTGGGTGGAGTACGCACTAAAGTGGCTCGGTTTGCCGCCAATCATAGTATAAATCGCTCAGGGTCGGTTCAGAGACGGGGTAAAACGGAAGCCATTGGCAAGGAAGAAAAAGATGGGTAAAACATGCACATAAGCTGAGTTTACGAAGAGATTTATAAATTGGTCTAGAGGCGGTCCGGAGACCGGGAAGAGCGGATAAGGTTACGAAGTAGGAGAGGTCAAAAGCCGTTGGATATGGAGGGGGTAGAATCTAGCTCAGAAGCCTTCGTAGTTTATCGGGCTAAATTGACGCCGCACCATCCCATATCGGCGCAGAGCCGTGCAGCGCGCGCAACGTGTGCTGCGCCAACTGGTACAGTTATAGATTGTTGTTTCTCGTATTGTAGATTTTTTATTTCAACTATGAAGCAGTGTAGAAACCAAATAATAATCACAAAATCCAGGAAGGTGCTATTACCGGAAATGAGATTCGAGGATTATACATTAAGAGAAATCAGGAAACCCAGAGAACGCTTACCACCAGCACCTCCCAGTCCCTTCTCCTGCTTGCGAGCCCTCCTTTGCCACTTGGCCATTCCGCGGCTACCGCAACCTCCTCGCTATAGGTCATTTCGTGTGCGTTCTCCCGTTTGATAAGCTGTATTGCCCATTTTTCTTTCTCGATGAGTAATACTACATTGCGTTTCAAAAGTATGTGGACACCACACAATCCACGTTAAAAAGGTAACTAAGAAATTCCGTGCTATGCAACCCTCCTCAGTAGATTCCCCGTAGTTGATCGTACCATAGTAGTTTAGCAGATAATATCGCCTTGCTTTATTGGGTGCACGAATCAAGTGTCTACTTATGACAAAAGCCGAAGAGAATTCCCCTCATCACCCCTGTAAGATCGTGGTGAACAATTCTGGATCACACCCACATACATACTCGGCGAGCGAAGTGAAAGCGTTCACGAGGCCACTCGCAAATTTTATATTGCTCACTTGAGGTTGACTCCGTATTATAGCATACGAACAAAGGCGGAAAGTCGAACCAAGAGTGACCGCCCTACATGGAAACGCAGTGCATGTGAGGAGTAACATGCGAAAAAAGTAAAGCCTTCACAGTGAAGCTATAGAAGGGAAAATCGCTTCAAACCAGCATATCATCGCCGCGTCAGCCACCCTTCCGTATTTCACGGACAGGGCTTCAAATGTAATTTTGAACGCTACCACAACAGAAATTTCGACGGGCAAGGGAATCGTTTATCGAAGAGATATATTCCCAGAGGCTGGGTGAAGCAGCCTATGCAGCGGGGGGAGGCATGTGAGAACACGGCAGGACGCCAGTTCACACTTTACGGCACCGCCTTGCTCGAAGATCACTTTTCATGCGGGGTGGTCTTGATCGGGCGAGACGTACCGTATAAAAGGCCGACCCCCAGTACTGAATTCGTCTTCTACATTCGTCTTCTAATTCGTTTCTTCGACTCCAGCTGCACCCCCCTCGACTTCCTAGAGTCCTAAGGGATTCTAGCTCTGACCCTTTTCTTTTTTTAACTGTTAGTTTATTGTGTTGCTTAATAAATTGTCGTCGTTCGCGGCTTGTTACCTGGCAAGACCCTGGAAGAAACCAGGATATCATTCACTATTCAGCATTCAGATTTAGTGCGATTACGCCGACAGTTACCTTTGCACCACGACCGTCGGTAAGTCACAGGGGGTTGGCTGACGCTGCGGTGACCTGACATTTGTCCTTTCATAAGGCCATTGTGGCGGCTTTCTTTTCTTTTATGCGGATGCGATTCAGAAGTGTCGGTCACGATGTTGCAGGGGTGGTGGGGGAAGTTGTCCTCGGCCTTTGTCATCAGTAGGCATTTTATTCGTGGACTTAGTTTGGGACGTTGAGCAATCGTTTCTTCACATATGTCCCTCAATCCGTCAGTTGCTTTTGGCCATTGCTTTTTGCCTCGAGGGGTTCCCAGAACGAAGAGCTCTACTCCGTCTGAGACCATGCCCAGCAGAAGCTGCCACGCTTGAGCCCATGCTGAACTGCCGAAGGCTCTGGACGGACTGAATAATACTACAGCGGAGAACTCGTCCTGTCACCATGTTTCTTCCACATCGTCCGGTTTAGTATACAGGGGGGAGCTAAAAAAAAAGCATTTTGCCTCCACTTCCAGATGGATTTAAGCACATTTTACTCAACTCAGACCGAACGGTTCCAACTTATTGTTAAAGAGTGCATTCCATTCTATAAGAAAATCTTCATAGTGGCCACGTACGTGGACGGCATCAGAAGAATTCCCTGGGAAACATGGTGCACAGTCGATCTCAATGGAGTCTTCGAAGGATCGGGCTACCATAACGACACTTAGCTGGAAAGCTAGTTCCGAGCGGATTGCACAGTGGGTAGCTAATCCTCTAGAAAACTAGCTGAAGCTCTTACGGTAGACCTCCCTGACGACGGTGACAGATGACGTCATATTCCGAAGACGGTGAGGGCAGTGAAGGAGAGCTTGCGTACACTAATAGAGGAACACTTATGGAATACTCTGCTAAGGAACTCCCGTCAACGACAGCAATCCCTGCGAAGAAAAAAGAGCCGAAGTCCGACATAGGCAAAATGTCTTTTTTTTTGGCCCCCCCCCTGTATACTCGCACAAGCTGGCAATGCGACTAAACTGAGTATATGTGTTCCTTGAAGTCGCATGGCAACAGTACTAACGTTTTCTCAGGGGGCAGCTCTTTCCACAGCGTTTCAGTCAGTGGATGTGCACGAGCCTAATGCACGCATAGTCGAAGAGGCTCGGCAAATCATAGGGATTGCCGGAAGTGCGACTTGGGTGTGTCACGCAGAACTGGTGTTCTGTGGAGTATCTCGTCTGCATGCTCTGCATCACGTGCAGACCTTTCGCCGAGAAGGAGTGGCGATTCCGAGTCCACTTGACGATAATGCGTCGTATTCCGAGTCCAACTACGAGCCATTTGCATATCCGAAGACGTGTGTGTCTGCACACGACTGTGGCTACACGAGCGAGCTTGTACACACAGTCAAACGTGAGGCCTTCGATCGGGGAATTCCGCATTCCTGTTATTCATGCCACGTCATATTCGTGGAACAAGGAAGCCGTTGCCCGTCGATTGAAAGTTCTCCTGGACAAATGAAGTCAACGTGGAGTGGGTTCATTATCGTGATCGAAGATCTGAAAATAAACTGGTTGCGAATCACGTTGCAGTGGTCTGAGGTCAACTTATTTCGTCGACCACGTCGGCCACGGAATGCTTTCGTTCCTAGGGGAGTATCATCAATCATTGGTGGTACTTTTCTTAGATGATCCCACTGTACCCTTACTGGTTCCTTGTTTTGGCCTATTAAAGTTACTAGAGCTGAGTTTGCACTGCTCTCTATTACTCAATACGGACCCGGCGGGCGTGGCGAATCCACACGAGGTAGCTCCTCATTTGGTAACAGAGGCCTCGCGGAATAGCGCTGAGCTGCTCTCGACCCACCACGCACGCTCAAATCATGCTAAGTGAATACTCACAGCGATTCAGTCGCTCATATATTATGGACCATCGCTCGGCGCAACGTCCTAGGCAACCGCTGCACGCAAACTATACCTCATAGACCTCTCCCATATAATAAATTACTCACTTAAAGTGGACTGAAGAAGGGTATTCGATTCAGAGCTCATGTCTGCTGCAGAGCACTAACATCGCGCCGTTACCAAGCAATAATCTCCTCGCTCACTACGTATAATTCGCTTAATGCTACATTATGTTCATTTCCGTGGTGTACTCGTACGTCGGTCTGCCTGCACGAGCATTCAGGGAGCCTCGTCCTCCCAGCAGTCATCAGGAGTTTGATTTTAAGATAATAGATTTTGAGGGGGCTCGGATGCCCGAGCATATTTTGTAGGGACAAAAGTGATTTGCAATGCATAGTAGTGGGCGGATAAGGGGCGGGTCAGCAATGTAAAGTGTCACGAATTCATAGGCTCGTAGCACTGCGCAGTCATCAGGAGGTGATTCTGGAATATGATTTAGGCGTCAGACGGATACATATTCGATGGGGCGACCGATAGTGATAGCAACTGAGGGCGTCAGGGGACGTGAGAGGGAAGGGTCAAGGGTTTTCTTATAGCACATCGCTGAGGGGTGCTGCTTTTAAGGCAAATCGGTGACAAAAAGTGACGACAGCTCTTTAGGGCCGATACCGATAAGAGGGACGAACTGAGAGAGAAGTAGTAACTGAGATTGTTACCCAGATGCGCCATAAGAAATGAGTCCCATTTCTATTGTGATTTCACGGTCACCATCGAATTCATCAGACCGCTAATCTCTCCGAGCTTTTTGAGATGGTCGGTGTTTGTGGATAATAAGTGTCTGTGTTTCTATTTCAGTGCCACGGGCATAAGTTGCAACCGCTAAACCATCCCAACATCCGAATCACGATAGATTTTGTTGAGTCCTGTTACCGTGGACAACTATCATGCAGCGCGAGCGATTGCATTAGTTATACAAGGCTTATTCGGCCGCTAGACCATATTGCTTTCCGAAAAATGGTGGATGTTTGGAAGTATTTACGAACTGCGGAATTGACTGCGCTATCACTAGCACCGCAATGACCTTTCCTTAATAACATTAGCCAGATCCATCAAAAACATACATGGTGCCTGATGCAAGAGCCCAGCAATATTCGGTCTGACTGAAAAAACTTTGCCGCGCGGTGACGAGCGGAGCTAAATTGGTTTCATTACATTTGATGTTTCGTGATATTCCTCAAATCGATAACTATGGCAGTCTCTGTACAGTCGATATCCGAGAATTGGGGTAGACGCGTCACCAATGTGCCGCCGCACTTGATAGATAGCGTGGATAAGCTGTTGCCAGCATTCTCTGCTGATATCCAGCCATGTATGCTCGAAGCAGCTTACCCAAACAGCTTCTATCAAGTGCGGCAAAGGTTTAGCTAGACACTTCAAAAGCTCCACATCTGTCGTGGATAGAGAGACACTTAAAGGCAAACTCCGGAATTAAACCGGTGCTAAGAGCGCTTGGCAGTGTTAAGTGCTTTAAGTGCTCCACTTCGGACTCTTTACAGGATACGAGCACTCAAGGGTTAAGGAAAAATCCCCTGAGAAGCAATGTTTCGCTTTTCATTTGTTTCGCGTTGCTTTAGATGAATTGATACTTAGGAATCGTGTCTTTATTTCCGCTGAAATTCCATAATACACTCTGGAGGTAAGTGCAATTGAAAACCCGAGAAAACTTTGATTCTCTGAAAAAGGCAAAGCAGAAAACGTAGAAACATTTTGACACGCCTTACTAGCGTGCCACCACACGTGCCATCCCTCTTCATTTACGGACTCTTGTAACCGCAGTAGGTAGCAGATCTCAATTCTACTCTGGATTTGCTTGAAGATAATAGTGAACAAACACTTTTTTGATGTTGTTGCATCAGGCCACACTGCGTTTTTGACGACACAATGTGTTTGTCCTCATAATTTTGACCCACACTGTACATCCTTTTGGCAGGGGCTTGCGAAGGTGGTGTGTTCACTTCAGCGCTCGCATTTGCAATGTCTTCCATAAGTAGTGCGCAGCATATCTTATCAAGTTCTCTCGAAGTGGACGCGTCTTCAAGTGGTCACACACTACTCTTAGTCCGTCCTTGAAATGTTGAAAGAAATAACAAGTCTCCCTACGCTGTGCGTATGGCTTATATGGTTGCCAGAGGCATCTCTCCTGTTTACCGCATGGCATACTAGGATTCCGTTAAATTGGGAACAGCATCATGAGACCAGCCCTATAACACTTTTGCCCCTTCTGAGCCGCCCACTTTGGAGAAGAATCTCGTTTTCCTTGGAGAAGCTGGATATCTTGGCAACAGATGGGGCACTGGAGCATTCGTTAGCTAGGTCTGTATCGAGTTCCATTTGCTTTTCAACGGACAGTTGTGGTGAGCGACCGGTGATTGAGACCCTTGCCCAAATCGTGATAAAGAGCTGCTACCTGTGGCTTCCTTTCACTCTCATTGTCTCGAGACTTACTGCGGTCATCGTTGGATTTTGAGAATTGTAGCTTCGCTCCACGTGGGAACTTTTGTCGTCGATGAAAACGGTGTCCGCGCAGTCGCCGTTTTGGGCCCTCGACACCAGCTCTTTGAACTTTCTGTCTCTGCTGTGCTCCTCACATAAGATTGAGCAGAGGCGCTTATGCAGCTTATAATGGACTTTGACAGTCGTTATCTGACCACTCTCTACATAGCTGTGTTTGGAAACTCTGGCGTTCTGGTCACCTTTGCACCTTTTGCCAACCCAAGCATTGCGGTCGTTTCGCTTGTTCGTGCTTTTCCTGAGATCCGAAACATCAGAGCTTGTGGGGCGCTGCAACCAAGTCTACTTTCATTGATCTCCTCTTCAGTACACGGTAGGCCAAGGAACGATTGAAAATCCAACGAAGCGCGATGTTCATCACCTGATGTCCGACTCAGCTGGGTGAAGGATCAGAACCTCTTATATTTAGGTGCACCACGAGATGTAGGACGAATGGTAAGGCGTGCACTTGTGCAAGGTTATTCCCAGAGGTCATAGGAGCTGAAGGTATGCCAACCTTGGGAAGTTGACTACAGACACCCACACAATTGAAGCCCAAAATGTGTTGCAGTATTTATGGAACACCCTGTGCGTTGGAGGCGATGTAATGATGCTGCGCCAAAACTTCTTTTTCTCGCCTTTACATTGGACTTCGAGTGACACAAGGCCTTTCAAAAACCTTTTATCAATTTGACGACCTTATCTAAAACGCAAAGTAGCGCATAACAGATCTTATCCCCATGTCAACTACAAACTCAACGAAGGCGTGGTAGCGCTCTCGAAACCCTAATGTTGTGGGCATGTTATTTTGTGTACTGATCGCATTTTGATGAAAAATCTCAAATCAAGCAGAGAATGGTTAGTTCTCTCGAAATCTATTCCGGTATGTCACGCCGAAATTGTAAAAGGATTAATCTTGGATATTGGATATTCGCTCCTTAAAGGCACGAGTCAGGCTTGATAGACCAAACCAACCCTTTTGTCGTCTTTGTGCATGGCTGCACACCCACAGAGACGTTACCATGCTCCGAATCCCAAACGGCGCCGTAATAAGGCTCCAGGGAACGTACTAAGCGCTTTCGCCGCCTTACGGCGCTCCGACCGCCCACCTCCGAACGTGGTACGTGGCTGGCATAACGTGTGAAATCAGCTTGGTTGATTGCCGTACCAACAGATAGAACGACTGACACCTCCAGAAAACTTGTTTGTACGTGGCTCTTTCCCCAAGCCAGCCTCCTTCATTGCAAATGGGAAAGAGGGTTTTGTTAACGGCCTTGTCGACGCTTTTTCTCAGTTTTTTCTCCACTGTCGTTCTACTTCGCATCTCTATAGCCAATTTTAATCGCCGTAATACCCCCTTATTGAGCCCGACTTTTGCCTTTAAGCTTTTGACATTGATCCAAATTCTTACTCATGCTAGCCGTATACCCACTGAACGGTCTAAGAACTATGATATATAATATTTATCAAAGAGCCAGCAGAAACGATGCGGTCGCGAATTTGGGATACGAAGATTGTCCTTTGTGAGAAATCCTTCTATTTTATAAAGCGCTAACTTTGTGTGTCGGTTTGTATATCTGTATGTGTGTGCGTGTGTATGTATGTATTATTATGTACTGTATGTAGTATGTAGTATGTATTGTTGTATGATCGTATGTAATGTTCTGTTTGTCCGTCCCCGCAAAATGACGTGAGTGAGAAGGAAAGCTCATGGAATGAACATACCGCGTAACATATCGGTAGCTAGCAGGATGTTTGGAAGATATCAATGTTTTGTAGCAGGATAGTTGTGATAACACTCTTGGATATATAAACACCTGCTTAGCACACTTCCGTTCATTCCACATGGTGCTGCAGTGGCAGCTGGAGGGCAGTAGAGAGAGGAAGGGAGGATGAGGGAGGGAAGCGTAAAATCTACCGTCACATCATGACTGTGTCCCTTCTACTGTACGAAACACCATTGTGTTGCATACGCGTCACTTCCATGAGGTGTTGGTGTCACAGGAGGAAGGGACCATAGCGGAGGATAGAAAGCTTGCGCAGGAAAGGAAGGTCCTGTCGGTTGGCATGGGACTAATCTGGTCTGTTATAAGTGACGCAAAATATTCTCAGCTGTCTGCTTGCTGTGGAAATGCCACTTTTGAAAATTGCTTCACGCGTTTTCAACGAGAGAATTCGTTCTTGCTTTTTCCCGCACTCTCGCTTCCTTCCTCTTCTCTAGTTTCATTTCTGCTACACTACTATGGCGCGGGAAAGGCGTTCAGTGGTCGA